GACTGGAGCCCTGAAATTGACATGGACGACATATCTCGAGAGAAAAATTTGGATGGTATAAAAAGCATTCCATGTACGATTTGCTTCTATACACTTCAATTTTCGGTGCTAAAACTTATCATATGAGAGAGTTACACATACAAGAAAGCAAATATTTTGTTTGGATTATACCACCTTGATATGAATGGATTCTCAGGGTACGATTGATAAAATTGAAATCTGAACTGTAAATCTATCAAATTATTAAACTGTTAAATATTAAATCTAATACATTTGAGCGCATATCAAATTCAGTGATAAGTGAATAGTTTATCAGTTAATTTTGGGAGCACGTTTTATTTAGAAAATTCAGTACCACTTAATTAATTCGGATATTTAATTTTTGATTATCAAACGCTTTGAATATGTTAAGATCTAAATCCTGAATTAAATTATCAAACAGGACCTTAGTCTTCCTTCACAATAAACGGGTCTTCAGTAATTCGCTACATATTCCTCAAGAAACAAAAATCAGCTAAATTTTTTTTTCTTAGGCAACATGAATAAGCAAACAGTTTTCCATAATATTGGGCCTATCTTGGGACCTCTTATTAGACTTGAAAGGTTCATTTGAGCTTCTCAGGCTGGACCTCCCATTTCGCATCGACAATGGGCTGCAAAATGTTGTCGACAGAAGTGTGGTGTACGGAGGGAGTACTAATGTGTCACAAAATTAAAAGGTTCAAGTTCAGGTCTTCTAGGATTTTATTTTTCTAGTGTATTTCATTTCAGTTAGATTTCTTTATAGGCATAGAGATTGGAGCTTCTGATAGAAATCCCATTTTATCAATTTTCAAGAAGAATAAAGTTCTTAGTTTTGTTTCAGCAGAGTAAAAGTTGCTCGAAAGTTTTTTTTTTTTTTTTTTTTGTTGAAGAGTGGAGTAGTGCATAAAACGTGAAGTAACTAATTGTATATATCTGTTTAAAGAGGAAACGATGAACAGAAGTCGATATTCGATTCAGAATTTGTAGCTGTTTAGTACATAATTAATCTTGTCGTAATTAAATTTTCTTCATGTATACCATACAAGAAATTGCTTCATAAAGAAAAGCTACTTTCTTGACCTTGGTGCATGCATATATAAAGTTTTCTTCGTTAAACTTTTCTTGATGTTTTCATCTCTTCAGCTGTAACATGATCAGTTCAGAGTTGCTATTCAGCAAGTTGAGGGAAAAAAAAAACATTTGCTTTCAATGTCATTTACTTATCTTTCATATGAACACGAGTTTATCTTATTAGTTCCCATCGAAGCAGTTAAAAATACGTTTAGGTCGTATTCATGATTAATTTTTAGCTTGATGACTCTCTACTCCATCCAATGTCCACGGTAAATTCTTTATTTAATAACTTCGCAGGGCCATGTAATGAAAATATCAGCTGAGCTGATCATTCGTAAAATGATTAGAATAGATTAACATTTCAATAACTAGTAAGATTATTTTTTCTGGGCATTCTTCCCATTGTAGAGAAAAAAAAACTGCCGGTCATGGGATGGGCGGAAAGAAATAAATGAAGTGTCTTTCATATTTCTTTTCTTCTTGTCATTTTGTCTAATTGAGTGGAAAAAGGCTGAGCACATGAAATGATCATTACTAGCTTCTTGATTGAGATAATATATGTTGACTGATTACGCATGGTTGAGCATCACACAAGAATTGGAAGGAAAAAGCATGCATGCAATTTTAGGGCTCATTACTATAAATAAGGGTTAATTCAACCAATTCACCTGCAGCGCAATTATAATTTTTTCAATCAGGAATATATAATTGGATCGGGAAATCATGTCTAGATAAGATATCTCATCGATCGGCTTGGAAGATGCGTTTTAATTAGCTGCCTATTCGCCACAATCGCTGGGTATAAGATTAGGGTTAGTTTCAGTTTAGCCCACCAACTGTACCTCAACTCTTGCTTGTCCCTAAACCACAAATTGTCCCTAAATTATAAAAGGCATTCCACTGAAGTAAATTATAATTAACAGAATTTTCAAAACTAATGCATGCAGTACTGGTTACATAAGTACGTAGCATGATTTTATGTTGCAATAGCCCCTCGGGGTTCGGTTCAGTGGTTGTAGTCCCAGTTGGGGGAGAGCCACGTCCCGAGATCGAGTCCCCGTTCTACCGTGGCTGATGATGCTTGGGACGAGCCGCTCCCAGCTCGCAGTGGGATTAGTTGGGCTGTACGGTAATCAGTCCATGGGTCCAGATACCCACTGTGTTGAAAAAAAAAATGATTTTATGTTGCAATAGTACGTATAGAAGGAAAATCATCATATAAAAAAATTGTGAGAATTTTATAGAATCTTCTCATAGTGTGAGTACTTAAAAGCATTTCGAAAGAAAGTTCAAAATGCTTCAATTAGGGTGACTTACACCTCAGTTAGTTTGGATCCAAACTTAGTATTAATTTACCCTAAATTAAAAATTGAACATGTCCTACAAAAAAGAGGCATGCCAGCATCTATCTAGAATCCTGAGGTTATATCATAATGGAGATTCTAAAACAATTGTCTCCTTTTCAACACATAAACCAGTTGCTATATTTAATTTCGTTTGATTTGTTGACCTGCAATCTAAATACTTGTACGCCAGAGGAAGTCGATGGTTACGGGTTGATCATAGTTTTGTTTAATATTTCTTTTTCAGATTCTGATTAGGTAATCTACACGTATCTATAACTATATATTTAGTCTTGATATTAAGGGGTCCAGTGCTCTGCTTACCAAATTTACTTGCACAAGATAGTGTTTTTGATTGGATGATTAACGAAACATTGCCTGCAAAAATTAATGGTCCCTCTTGTGCCTTAAATCTCAAATAGTCCATGCATATACTGCTAGAAAACAGTATATCTCATCCATTAATCAATGGTTACTGCACCTATTAAGTTCATTAGTTTGAGCAACCTTGTAATAGTATGTGAAAAACCTGCAGTATCTTTTGAAAGATAAATGATTGATGTTCAGAAACCTTATTGCTGCACTCATGCTTACACTCTTTTTTTTTTTTTTTTAAATTCATATGTTACCCACCCTAAATCCAAATTTCTGAAAATTGTAAGTTTCAATCAGGTTTGAGCACGTTAACTTGGCGAAATCCACTTGTGATTTGGATAAGATTTATTGATTAAATTATATTTCATGAGATGGTATGCAAATGTATAATGCAAATTTTACACCTTAAACCAAAGTCAAGTCTAGTTTTGCAAACGATCGACTCGTCGATGACAAGTGATATTTGCACCCTAAAAATAGTTTTCGACACTCATTCTAATAATTTATTATGTAAAGAAAGGTGTAGTGTGAATATCATTTACCTTGTTCGTATAAAAGAAAATTGCAATAGGGATTTATGATTTATTGTTTGGGCAAATTTAACACTTTTATGGATAAAAAAAAAAAAAAAAAAAGCAGGTCTACACACAGAGGTGAGCCAAACCAAACCAAACCAAACCTCCTATTAGGTTTTACGTACATCAGAAAGCCATTCAATGTCAAACCAAACCTCCTAAACACAAACATATACATGCGAATACCAGTATTAGTATAATGTAAATAGCAGATTTACAACACATTTTTATGCCAATTAATGAAGGATTAATTCGTAATAAAGATAAGTAAGCTGATCTAAGTGTGGATCAATTTTTTTTTTCTTTTTACTAATTGAGTTCCACCAATAAAAGCTTGTAGACAATCTTTGAAATTACAGCTCCATGTGTGTTTGACGTATTATCTTGACGAAACGTATAAGATCCCAAGAGGCTGCTTTGTCTATCTCAAATAGCATTATCTTTAATGACCGCTTACCTTCTGAGTTACATTGGAAAGCTGTTAAACTTCTTGACTGTTTCTGAAATACAGATGAAATGGTTACCAGTTTCTTTATTTAGGGGCGATTTGGCATATTACAGCTTTGTACCTACCTTAGAAAAAGACTTGGAAAAAGCGCACGATAGTTTGTCCTCCCAAATATCAGAATGGTAAGTCAACTGAAGGAAAAGTGTATTCCTATTGCTTGGCAATTTACAAGAAGTAGATAATAAAAACCATTTACTTCTGACTAGTTGATCTGATCAAAATTTTAGTCACCATCAACTGAGCTATGATTTTTCTTTTTTTCTTTTTTTTGTGTGTGTTGGGGGGGGGGGGGGGGGTGTTGAGGACTAGCTACAAACAGCTATGGAAAAAAAACTAATTCACGCGATCATTGTCAAGAATAGTTATTCCACTAAACATTCCATAGAAAAGCTAAGTCCCTACAACAATACCATATTTTAGGTTGGCTTCCATGCATGAATCTATTATGAAAAATCAATTTAGAAAAGAGAAAGATATATATAATTAGACACGTACATGCAGTTTAGTGTCCAAAGCAAATGATTTGGAAAATAGAAAATATAAAATAGCTGAATTGAAGTACTTCAGATCTCTGGTGATAATATTCCCTAAACCTTGCTTTAAAATTTTGGGTTCCCGGTTGGTCTATAAGTATAGTTTTGTCAATAATCAATTTCTTTTGTTAACCAAAGTAGATGGTCAGCCATAAAAAAAAAACAAAAATACTACAGCAATTATTCTAATTAACTCTAACCCATATGCACTCGTGTGCCTGGAACTTCTATCTTTCCTCTTACCCCACATCAATTGTATGTAACCTATGAACCAAAAGTCTGGAGCCTGATCATTGATATCAACATTTACTCCCAATCAACCAAAAAAAATCCCTTCACTAGAAGATATCATATAGACCAAAAACATTGTTAGTCTAGGGAAAGATCGACAACAGGGTTTATAGTACAAATTTAATATGGATAAAAGTTTGAGTTGTTTCCATTAAATTATACAATAAAATTGAAGAGCACAAGTAACAAAATTCATGTTAGGACAAATGAGAAAAAATCACTCCAAGCCGGTTTGAGACGGCAATTAAATCATCCTTTTTGCCGGCTATCTCCCTCTCATGTTCCAGCCCATTATTAGCATTCTTCCAAGCCGATAATTTCTTCTTTCTTCCTCGTGATCCCTTTAAAACCCCTTCATTGGGAGACTCAGTCATATCATTCCAGTTTGTATCTTACTATCCTCGTTCTTACTTTGACGTAGCACTTACTTGTTGGCTTCAAACCCAGCGCTAGTTCCATGACGAAGATTTCACAGCAAAACCAAAGGAACAATTCAAACCTTGGGAATGGGATCAATAATTCTGCTATCAAAGTGAAAAGAACTAGGAAAACTGTCCCTAGGGACTCTCCTCCTCAGCGTAGCTCGATTTATCGAGGTGTCACAAGGTTGAATATTTGCACTTCGAATTTTGTCTACAGTTTGGATTTATTTTCTTTTTTGTTCTTTAAACATTCTTTTCCCTCGAGAGTCGAGTCTGACTTGGTAAAGTTTTGATGGGTTTAGGCATCGATGGACTGGAAGATATGAAGCTCATTTGTGGGACAAGAATTGCTGGAATGAGTCTCAGAACAAGAAAGGAAGACAAGGTTCGTATCGATCATGGTCCTCTTCTCTGTGAAATTTTATTTTTGATTTGTTTCTTCTGGATTCTGGTAGTGTTGTCAATGGTAACTGATCCCTTTTTTTTTTTTTTTGGTCTGCTGCTGCTGAACGTGTGGAATTTATGGAAGCGCAGTCTACCTTGGTAAGCAAGCAATTTTCGTTAACCTCGATTTAAAAAAAAAAATTTTCCCATCCCATAACCATTATCACTTTCTATCAACTGTGGCCATGCATTTTCTTCTTTTTTATTTTTTTTCTGTTTCTTTCTTCCACATTACACATCAATAAGAGTGATAATATCCATCCTAACTCTTAAAACGGTAAAAAAAAATTAAAAAACAATCTTCAATGATGTACAAATGTCTTATAGTTGGGGAAATAAATATCTAAAACAGAAGATGTTTTCCGACTTTTGTGCAAAAAAAAAAATGAAGAAGAAGATATTTTCCAACTTTTTACAGACGTTAATTATTATCCAAAATTGATGAATTAACATTGTTCTGTCGATAATGTATATGGTACATGTATCTTTCTTCAGGCGCCTATGATGATGAAGAAGCAGCTGCACATGCTTATGACTTGGCTGCACTTAAGTACTGGGGTCAAGATACGACCCTTAACTTTCCAGTACGAAGCTAGTTGCTAATCATAATTACTCTTTCGAACATGTTTGTGTTCATTCTCTTTCAATCTTGATAGTGGGACTTACTTGCATTTATACTTTTAGTTGGCAACTTATCAGAAAGAACTGAAAGAAATGGAGGGTCAGTCCAGAGAAGAATATATTGGATCATTGAGAAGGAAGAGCAGTGGTTTCTCACGAGGAGTGTCCAAGTATAGAGGAGTTGCAAGGTAGGACATAGGATAATTATGTTCTTCTTTTTCCATGAATTTGATGAGTCGTGTACTTTACTTTTTTGCTTTTGCCCCTGTAATGCATTAAGAGGTATATGGACACAAAAAGTTGGGTACTGATTTGATTTTATAGAAAAAGGGGAGTTGGGAATGAAAAGTTTGAAATGCTAGACAATTATCAATTGAGTCTCTTACGTTAAAATGGAAAACGAAAAGTAAACTTCTGGAAATTTATGTCAAAATGCTTCTTTTGCATAATTCATTTTGATCCTAGGTTAATGTCAGAGTAGAATTACATATCCAAAACGCTCCAGCAAAGGTGAAGTAAGTTGAACCCTTTTTTATGACTGATCAATCAAATTCCCTATTATTCAACAGGCATCATCACAATGGAAGGTGGGAAGCTCGAATTGGCAGAGTTTTTGGCAACAAATATCTTTATCTTGGAACATATGGTAAGCCTTTCATTTCCTTTAAGCAACAACACGTTGAGCCATCCATTACAATTTTTCCAATAAAAAATAAAATGGTGCATGCATGCAATATAATTCATCTGGATATCTGCAAATAGTATGCGAAATTTTACTAATTGATTTTGATTGCGACTTCAAGCGTATGTTTGTTCTCTATTCACTTATCTGTCTTCTACCTAATAAAAACAAATTAGTATATGGTTAAAGTGGTTGTTTGGCAACCTAAAATACATTAGAGATAATATATTTTCTTTTTGTCAGTCACCATCACTTAGTTGGATGAGTCCACCAACTCTAACCTTCCATACCCCTTGAAGATACCCGGATATTAACTGTCATTATTAAAATAAACAAATGTAGGAAGTAAATTTCCCTGAATTATCTCATCAATTCTTGCAGCAACTCAGGAAGAGGCTGCAATTGCATACGACATGGCTGCCATTGAATATCGAGGACTTAATGCTGTAACAAATTTCGACCTCAGTCGTTACATAAAATGGTTAAGACCTAATGCCACCAACAGCACCACCACCTCCGCTGCGATCGCCGAGCCTAACCCTAATGTAGACACCAATTTTATGCCAACCCCAGATCAAATGTTGGCATCAAGCTCCATCTACCACCCTCAGACCGAACAACAGCCGCAACCATTGGATATTACCACCGACATAACCCTAAACCAATCGCGCCCTGCCTCAGCAACATCAGCCCTTGGTTTGTTACTTCAGTCATCAAAATTTAAGGAAATGATGGAGATGACTTTGGCAGCTGAGTGTCCGGTGGCCTTAACCACGCCGGAGTCTGAACCAACGCAATGTAGCATTCCTGATGATGCACAATCATTCTTCACTACACCTGACATGGGCAGCTACATTGATCAAAGTCAAGAGGACATTTTTAGCGAGCTAATTAACCCTTTCATGCAACCAATGTTACAATTCGACTTTGATGTTTAAGGGGAAGAAGGTTCACTTCTATGTAGTTCTTTCATAGTGTTAAGTTTCCAGCTTCTTTTCTAATTTTTTTTTAAAAGATTAGAAGGCAGTACGTGCAGTAATTTGTTGGAGTAAAAATGTCACTATTAAATCAAATTGCATTTTTGTAGATATATATGGGAATAAATGTATGGTGCATTTTTGTTATTTGTTATAATATCCATCAATAAAATATTTCTCCATTTCATTTGCGTCATTTTTTGGTTGATTCTATATATACTGCAAGATAAGAAATGTAGACAACTTGGTAGTACTGTAGAAGAATGTTATATAGTAAACTTTTACCTCGTCCAGCAGTATTAGAGGAAGTAGCTTGTTAGCTATTAATGATTTCGAAAAGGCTGGATATTGAGGATTTAATGTTGGCCTCTAAGCTGCCTTTTGATAGCATCCTTTATTGATTAGACGCTTCTTTGCTGTCCCGAAAAGAAAGATTAGCAGGATTCATATAAATCGCTCTCATAAGATCCTGATGGTCTTGATCTCATGCCTGCTATAAATTTGCCAGTAAATTCATCAAATTATCCGCGTGAAACATTTTGAAGTTGTACGCTATATACAGTAAACAAAGACGCAAGATTGAAAAATTCCTGGGAACCTACATTGACCCCTACTTCTCTCTGTCCTATAAGTACAACATCGATCGGTTTATGATATTTTGCAATGATGTTTTATCCTAACAATTTGGACTGACCCCTATACACATTTGGACTTCATTGCCCTTTCGTCTTCTTTTAATCCAGTAGTTCTTCGTTTATGTTCGAACTTCATTAAGATCTTATACAATGTTTTTTGTCTTGCTCAATTGGTCTTTTATGCTTCCACTAGCTCGTCGTGGAGTAGAGAATTTTGTCTTGCTCAATTGGTCTTTTATACTTCCACTAGCTCGTCATGGAGTAGAGAATCAAACTGTATGTGATATTTACATTTGCAATGACATCGAAGGATTTATGCTAATGTGATCACGTTATCTTCGAAATATCTGTGTATATAGGTGAAAGAATAGCTGCAATAGATTAACTTTTTGAATGTGAAACATTGGTTGATGCTTGTCTTATCTACCGTTTTTACTTTTGTCTGCTGCTGGTGGGATTTTATAAACAGGTATGTGGTCACGTGAAGAAGGAAAAAAAATCACACGCTCGCATACACATATATCAAGGGAAGTTTTTAGATTTCTCTCTGCTGTCAAGTTTAGGTAAAAAGGCTGTCATGAGGGGATCAGCTCTCAATCTAGAAATCCTCACATAAAGAGACATAAACTGGGAAAATATATTAGAAAGAACACAGAGAGAATGACGAAGAAAAGGAGGTGTTCAAGAAAATTTGTTTTTGCCATCCCTCAATTGGTAATCTACTGCATGTCGATTTGCAGGCCGTAAATGTTTTATCACAAATATCGAAAAGATTGATTGCCATATGCGACTGTGTTAATCTGTACTCTGTAAATAAAATCTAGCAAGAAAAATGAATTGAAATCATTGATGATTTAGCAGGAGAGGATCTCAATTTTTTTTCATGTTCAAAAATGAACATCCATGCCTAATTTTGTGGAAGCTGGTAAATTTGTTCTTTTTTCTTCTTTTTGTTTTTTGGTTTTGAATCTAGGAACAAGGAGGGTAGAGATATCAAATAATCAAGAATAATACATAAATTTCTTTTTCGATGCTTTAATTTTATTTTTTTTCCTTCAATAGGGTATCTGACTGCACTGGCAATCGACTCGTCCTCCACTGGGCGGTGGATCCTGCACCACCAAAAAAATAGGGTATCTGACTGCATTGGCAATCGACTAGTCCTCCACTGGGCGATGGATCCTGCACCACCAAAAAACTAGAGATTGTTAACAAGGTGAGAGTCGACGCACGACCAAAGGCCCTAAAGAGGACATCCCTTGGCCAGCCGCTCTACACCGGGGGCATCCTTAACTGCCAAATGAATCAGTTATTTTGTACTTGTTTTGAAAGATGCCTACCATTGCTACGTGACGTGCTACTTTCATTTCGGCAGCCCTATATTCCCTTTTTCAAAAGCTGCAGCATAATTAGAGATACTGTATTTCATCTCATGATATGCAAAGAAATAGTCAAGAAGAATCATGCAGTATCTGCATTTCAATATTGCACGCATTGTAAATTAAAAAATGAATATCAACCCTACAAGTATGCATATTCTAAAAACCAATATTCAATAGCATCTTTTATTAGAATTATGATTATAGATATATAATTATACTAAAATTCGCCCATTTAGATTTTTATTTTTCATAATTTTTGTAGGAAAATATACTCAAAGAAAATGGGGATGAGAACCATGTCTTCAGAGAAGTGACCATTTGAATCAATACAATAGAGTGACAAATTTTTTTTTATTTGATTTTAGAGCATGAAGACTCATCGAGACTGCAGAATAATAGTGCCATGCAGCACGAATTGATTCCTGTTGATGAAAAAAAAAAAAAAGAAGAAATAGGGAGTATAATTATGCAATTGATGTTCAAATAAGCTAAGATTCAGATTCCCACCAACAACATTTGACGTTCGCAATTGGCGTTCGCACTTCAACAGTTGAAGTGCCGCTATTCTCTTTGACTGCCTCTGGGGTGCCGCTGGGATCTTTGCCATTCTCCTCCAATTTCCACTCAAAAAGCCCTTTCAGTATCCAATCCACCAAGGCTTGTGTCCAGTTCTTTGCCATATGCTTTGAATAATTCCTTGTATTAACTTCTCTTCTTGTTATATCAGGATTCAAGAATCACCCTGCAGGTATGAACAGCCAAAGAGGGGGGGGGGGGCAGGATTCTGTAGACAAATGATAATTAGAGTAATTAATTTGTGGAAGAGGTAAATGAAGTAGGTAAAAATCTATTGTTTGGCTATATGTTTTGCAGCATGCCCTATTCAATCTCTACTTTTTTTCTGCAACAAATATATGTTTCCCAAAATCTGTCGCAGATACAACTAAAACATTGGAATTGAAGAGAAACTCAATCCACAGCATCAATCACTTTTTTTTTTTAACACCAATGGTAGATAAGTATGGTACAGCTAAAATTCATGGTAGTAGTAAATAAGTTAATATTAGGACTGTAAATCGAAGCAAACAACTTGTTACTTGACTTGAACTTACCTCGATTCAGACTCGTTCAAGTTTGTTTGTTTAGATATCAATCCAAACCTGAACATGATTTCAAACTTGAAAATATTAATGAACTAATCACGATTTTTACGTTGTCCACTTCGATATGTTCAGAAACATATAAGGTAAGTAAATTTCACAAAAATATACATAGTTTCTTTTCTTCCAGTATGTATATTACTTATCTTATAAAATAACAAACATATAATCCTCTTGTCTCTTGAATAGAAATAAAAGTAAATCTTATATACACTGACAATGTATACACTATCATCGTTGGATTCATAACATGTATACAAAAGTTGAATTTCAAATTCAAATTTTGCATAGCTATCATTCATCTAACACTGACAGTATATACATTTTCAATGTAAGAAAGATTAATCCTAGACATAATTGATTTTAATCACATCCCTAATTCATTATAATAGATTTCTTCAATAGGTATATTTGACTTTAATCACATCCGTAATTCTTTGTAATAGATTTCTTGAATATCATATAGCAAAAATTAAGGGAAAAAAAGTAATAAATTTGGGTGAAAATCACTATATAATACGACATAAAATTTCAAGTTAAGCCAAGTTTTGATTGTATATGCTTGAGCTCGATACTTTAACAAGTCAAGCCAAGCTTTTGGTGAACATACGTTCGAAATTTCACCAACCTCCATCAATTTCTTGCAAAAAATTATAAACACAAGTCAAGTTCAAACATTCCTTCTAATATCCAAACCAATTCTAAACATACTTTTATCCGACTCGTTAAGCCTCATTTTCAGCCTTAGTTAATATTGCACAGAGTTCACTGTTGAAACCCCTCTATCAATGCAAAGTTCACAGCCTTAGTTAATATTGCACAGAGTTCACTGTTGAAACCCCTTTATCAATGCAAAGTTCTTGATTTGTGAAAGGATGAGTGCTGTAGATAACTCATCCAAATGATCATAAGGGCGGTAGGCATATTTTTGGCCGTCTTATTATGTGAACTTGCTGCAAAACATGGTATTACAGATTGAAAGTCTAACTCATTTACTTTACTTAGCCTCTTGGACTAAGTTTGTAGGCTGTCAATGGTCCGGATTTGAACCCGGACCCGAAAGTTTTATCCAAGTATAGGTTAAAAATAATTATATTACCCGAATCTAAACCCGTACCTGTTTACTCTAATAAAAAGCGGGCCAGACATGAAATATAGGATTCTGACTCATATTCGATTCAGACCCGGACAATACATAAATATTTATTAAATATAAATATTTCTAAATATAATAAGAATTCTTTTAATTACCAAATTAACAAACCCTAAACTTACAATCCACCCACCTACACATCTCTCTCTCTCTTCTCTCTTGCTCCACCCGCACATCTCTCTCAGACCTTATTTTTGTTGGGCCTTATTTTTTCTGTAGATCCAGATCCGATCCAGGACCCGTTAGACCCTGTTCCAGGACCCTAAGCACAAGACCCGTTTGGTAAACAGGTTGGGTTAGGAACTAGTACATTATAACAGGTTCAGGTCTGAAATTTTCAATTTTGGCCCAACTCAACTCGTTGACAGGTCTATAAGTTTGAAAGCTTGCATTCTAGTGGACTAAAATTGCTACAATGATGTAAACTGGCCCAATACAATTGTAAATCCTAAGACATTAAGAACTCATGTGGAATGCTATTTTTTCGGAGTTTAGTGATTTGATATATGTGAAATAATTAATTGATTGAAAAATATATTTACGAAAAACTTAAAAATTTTGGAATGAAAAATTGCAATCCAAACAAGACCTTAATATTTTTGTTGAAGTGGCATTGGTTTTATTGTGGGAAGAATTTTTTTCACAGATTAGTTGGTAAACAGAAAAAATTAGGGAAGCAGCCAAGTTTCCCACTTTGGTCTCTTTCAAAATGGTCACGAGGCTCCTTCTAAAAGTAGTTTGGAACATACTTTTTAAACTCGACCCGACCGATAGTAAAATCGATCAGTTGGGTGGCTCGAACATCAAGCCGAGCTGAGTCTTTAATT